TCTTATCTCCATCCATGTATGTAAGTATATATGTATGTATGTATGTATCTACTATGTTTCTATCCTTATTTATAGAACAAAACAACAACAATGATTTAAATTAATTCCTTACCTTATTTTATTTTCGCCTTTCCACAATCTTGCAAGGTATATAGGCCATGGAAAAAGCATTGAGTTCACTGACACACTTGAAAGATGGCTCTACTGTTTGTCATTGTGCAACCAAGAAATGGTGCAGGGAAATTCCACCCCCATCTTCTCTGTCCTCTCTTACCTCCCTTTGCGGACTCTATTTCAGGCATATTAGTTTATAATTGCTCCCTGAGGATATCAGGTACCTTTCCTCTGAGCTTTTGCAGTGGTTATTCCCATTATCTGGAATGCTCTTCCCTCAGACATTTGTTTCATTCACCTCCCTCTGGCCTGATCAGATCCCACATTCCTAGTGAGGCTTATCCTGTCTACCATTTAAATTGAAGGCTGTGGTTCTGCCTGTAATGTCAATGCTCCATATGCTGGTTTATTCTACATAACATTAGTCACTGGCTAACCTATTAGATAATTTGCATGTTTGTATCTCTGCTCCCCTGCGCCTAGAATGTAGGCTTCACACAGTCAAGAATTTTGCCTTTTTTAAGTCCAGTGGAGATCCAGCAAAAAAAGCCTTGGGACAATCAGAACTGGGCACAATTCTAACTTGTGTGATTTGATACTTTAGTGATTTAGATCAGAGCCGAGCCAGTTACTGAAGAAGATCTCTTCTACTGCATTTAAGCAGCACAATAAATTCAAACAAACTGAAATTTCCAGCAATTACAGAGCAGGTGTGTGCTCTTTCTCCCTTCGATCCTCCAGGCTCAAATCTATCCTCCCTGGGTGATGAGGGAATGTGTAAGAATGACTGGCCTAAGTTTAAATCAAATATGAAGATGTACAAGAAAACATTTAAACGTTTCTTAAAAAAAAAATCATTGAGTGGTTTCCTTTGAAACATCAGGGGTTATCTAACATCTAGTAAGGTCAGAGTGGGGTAGAGAAGAGCAGAGGGAAGGGGCAAGGGTAAGCCCCCTCATCTCTCCCTCCTTTGTACCTTACTCCCTCCTGGACTGTCATCCCTTACATTCAAAATGCAGACTGTAGACGTCAGCACATGCAGGTAGAACATGTAGCCACTTCCACATCCCAGTCACTGTGACATGGGAAATTCTGCATCCTTAAGTCTGCTCACCCCATCACCATTCACACAGGTTAATCCTTTCTCTACTGCTGAGTCAAAAAGAAACAAGAGTGAAGGCAGATGAATAAGATCAAAGTTTTATACACATATGTGTATAAGTACACAATGTGGGAAGGAGAAAAGCCCATTGAGGCAAATAGGTTGGGGAAACCACTACAGACAGCAGTGGTGTCCTGCTGGTTCCAAGACGAGAGAAAACTGTCCAGGAGCTTGGGTCAGCTGCATTCATGGTCACTCCAGGGATGGCACAGTTGATGATTGATGCAAGTTTCTTCTATTTTCCACCATTGGAACTTCTTGAATCTGGTGTTGTTTTGGAGTAGTTCTACACTGGGGCTTATGCTCCCCTCGCCCTCCAAAACACACACGTGCACAGAACAACACAAAAGTACACATGTGCACACAAGGTACACACTTGCCGTATGAAGAGATCAGGTTAAGTGTCACTTAAAGGGGTTGGGCCCCTTTCTTGTGCAACATAGTCCATTTCCAGTTATTTACAATTTGCAAGGAATCTTTGGTCGTTATTTGTTGAGATTCATGACGAGAGGAAGGAATTGTTTGGTGGCTCTGATGAAGCCCTCGGCAGGTTATGAAGGTGTCTAGTCATGGCCAGAGCACAGGCACAGGTGACCAGGATAAACACAGTGCTTGCTCCTCCAGAGGGGCACCTGGCTAGGGCGAGCCCAAGTGCTGTTTAAAATTTCACGGTGGTGTCCCCCATCGCACGACCTGCACTGTGCTTAGGGGGGGCACATGCGCTGTGTGTGGATGAGGTTCCGTAAGTGTATCCGGTCGTAGTAGGCGTGGGGTTCTTCCCTGGAGCACCACCTGTGTTAGGGGTGAGTGGGCTCCCTGTGTTCTTAGGGGGGCTGCTGACAGAGAGGCCTGCCATCATAGATGTGATAGAGTCTACATCTGCGACAGCTCTTGCTGGATCTGCCTTGGGTCCTCCACAATTATTCTTCTGGGACACACGGGTACCAGGTCCTCCCATTGTGACAATGACCTTGTCCCCTCCGTGTTTACTGACTGTCTGCTGGGCAGGTGGACCGCCGTTACTGGGAGGGACCTTGGAACTACATGTGGATGTGGCTCCAAGTACAGACACAGTGCTGCCACTTGCCACTGCGACAGAGGCAGTGTGGGCCGGCAAGCTGCAGGGGATCTGTGGGGGGTGAACGCACACGTCTCTTGACACGCGTATGGCTCTTCCACATGGAGTGATTGGATTTTGTGTAGATGAATCCTGGGAGCGATTATGCGTCCCAGGAACAGCTGAAGCTCCATCTCTGGGAGGACTGTGGCCGTCTCCCCCTGCTTCACCCCCTGCGTTGTTGACAGTTGGACATTTGCTCAGCTTTTTGGAGGAGATTGACTTGCCTCCTGACACTCCTCTGTTGTCCACAGTGGTGGCTCCTTTACGTGGGTCTAGTTTATTTTGCTTAGATGAGTCTGTGACATAGAGGCCTGTCATCATAGATGTGATAGTGTCTACATCTGCGACAGCTCCGTCTCTGGGTGGACCGTGGCCATCTCCCCCTGCTCCACCCCCTGCGTTGTTGATAGTTGGCCTCTTGCTCAGCTTTTTGGAGGAGACTGACTTGCCTCCTGACACGCCTCTCTTGTCCGCAGTTGTGGCCCATGTGAATCAGGTTTCTTTTGTAACGATGGGTCCAAGGTAGGTTTATGGCTGCCAGGAACAGCTGAAGTCACGTCTCTGGGAGGACCATGGCCGTCTCCCACTGCTCAATCCCCTGCGTTGTTGACAGTTGGCCTCTTGCTGCTTGGATTAAAGGGGGAGGCTGCCTGATCTCCTGACCGGCACCTCTTCTCCCGGATGGCAACACATGCAGATGGGGGGTGTTTTCTCTGCCTGGATGGGCCCCCAGTACACTTACCAGTCATGGAGACTGAGTGTCCACCTGTGGGCATGCTGCGGTCTTGGCCCACTGCTCCACTAACTGGCAAAGTGGGTGGACCCCCAGTGCCTGGATTTAAGGCGGTAGTAGCATGGTGTCCAAATGCTACCTGGGCCACAACAGTCCTGCTACCGGGTGGTGTCTTCTTAGATCCCGGAACCACTATGTAAGGTGGCACATGGGTGTCCCTGGACACAGGGGAGGAATACATGATGGAGGCCTGAGAGGGAGACGTAGTGTCCATGGCTTCACTGTCAGAAGCTGAGTGGCAGTTTGCAGGGGGCTTGCCTACTGGAGTGGAGGTGACACCAGAACCCCCAAGGGGCAAGCTAGTGGAAACTGCAACACCTGGTGGTAAAGATGGAGGAACAGATGGGATTGGGGGCCTGGGAGGTTGGTCAGCCAAGCCTGCTGGAGCAATAGGGACTTGCACAGTGTTCATGCTGGATGGGAGACAGTTAGCAGTCCCTGTTGCAAGTATGGAGAATGCAGGGGCAGGCAGAGGGTCCGAGCAGGCTGCTTTGATGTCTCTTCTGTCCCCCAAGATGTTGTTCCTCTGACATGTGGTGTTCTTCACGGTGTCCAGGTTTTTGTCCAGACCTATGCAAGGAAGCTTAGGAGGCGGAGGCAACTCCTCGCGGTCCCACAACAGTGGCTGTGGTGGTGGCAGTGGCAGAGAAGGTGGCATGGGTCTCTTCCGTTTGCAGGCCCTGCTGCTGGCAGCTACGGGGGGCAAGGAGCTCCTTGATGACGTGTCTGAAGCCTCCTTAGTCTGTTTCTCTTTCTTGCTGACAGGCTGATGGTTTCCGCCCGACAATTCTTTGGCGGATGTCTCCTGCAGTGAGGGGCAGCATGGGGCTGGGTGGGAGAGCACGGGGGCATCTGTGTGACGCACATCTCTGGCAGGGCCATGCGAGGTGGTGACTACATGGCCATCAGGGGAGGAGTGAATCTGATCCTGGTGGGTGTCCTTCCTCCGACTGTCTTCTGAAGGACCAGGCCGGAGGTCCAAAGGCGCAGGGCTGCACTGCCTGGAGCTAAGTTCACTGGCCTCCAGGGGACTAGATGTTAACTGTATATCCCCGCAGCTATGGGGGGCTCTGCTCCCACCATCCCGCCCTTTGGTCTCCACAGGTTCCCCCATCTTTCCTGTGGGTTCTTTTTGGGTCTTCTCCTCCCTCCCATTTGGGCACGAAAGTGGGAGGCCCCTGGATGGGACCGGCTCCGCAGCTCCCTCTCCAGTCTCTGATGGCAAACGCTGGAGTTTTAATTTGCGCCCTGGAGGAGGGATTCTGATGGCTCTGGAGTGCCCAAACATCACTGAATTACGAGACGATAGGACAGGTTTTTTTCAGAGGGTTACTCCAGTTAACCAAGAGGAGAATGCCCGGAGAGGTCCATGCAGCCTGCGGGATGGGGTACCGCCTCCTCGGCTCGATATGAAAGGTGGCCGGTAAAGGCCTACGTACCTGGTGGAAGAGCCTGCGCCCAGGGTGCAGGGCAGGTGAAGGAGCAGCGGGGTGGCCCCTGCCAGGTGGTGGATGGGGATCACGGGCGGGGCGGACCAGGGCCCGATCCCGGCCAGGCAGGGGACGGCGGCGGCGGAGTGGGAGATGTAGACATTTACTAGGGAGACTGCCCATAGTGAGCTCGTTGTGCGCCCAACGAAGGCGAGGTTGGAGTCTAGAGCCCCTCCGGAGCTTCCTATACTCCTCTTGTTGTCAAACACGCACTGAGCCTGAGCGGCCCAGCCTGGCCCTAGTGATGCATCCCTGGGACACGTCACAAAGAAGGGCGCGCACGCACAGCGCGGCAAGAGACCCCAGCACAGGGCAAAGGGGAGGCCCCTAAGCCCCGCCTGTTAGGCTCCAGTGCCTGGGACTTGCGGTCGCCAGTGGCGCGGTATAGGCTGCCTGCTGCCCTTGGTCCGTGCGCCCGTTGTCGTGTGTGGACAACCAGCAAGGCCACAGCGTGGGGACTGTAGGTGAGTGCCGTGGTTGTCAGGCCCCTCAGCGCCTCGGTGTGTGTCGCCAGCCCTTCCCCCAAGAAAGACGAGTGCTGGGGGGCTCTCAAAGTTGTAAGGGAGTGGCCCGCTGCCCCTGGACCCCCTCTGCTTCCCTGCGAGGCTTCGACCCAGCTGCATCCTCGCTGGGGCTGCCCAGGCTTTCAGCATCGCCCTCCAGACGGCGGCAGTTTCCAAGTGGTTGCCAAACCCTAACCTGACCGGATGCTGCGCCCCACGACCTCCCTTCCTGGCAGGCAGGTCCTTGCTTTCTTCCTTTTGAGGAATTTGGCAAAACAGCATTTACAATTTAGACCGCCCCTCAGGTCACACAGGTGGTGGTGGTTTAGCTGGGATTCAAGCCCAGGGTAGTGACTCCCAGAGCTCTTACTCTGAACTGTGGTGCCTCCTTACCATATATGCATCACGTGTTATCATCTTTTTCTTTTTCCTAGTTCTTAGGGTACTTAGCAGGTGCCATATTTACAGTAAGGAGAGGCACTGCCCAGGACCAGGCCTTCGTTGAACAAAAGCTCAAATCATAAAATAATCGGGACCACAATGGGTTCTGGTCTCAGAAGATGTAGGTCATTGGCCACCAGTGGTAAGTATAGTACCATCCCACACTTGTAACTGAGCCTTAAAGCCCAGAATTTCTCTTTGGTCTACTCAGAAGAATCCAAATACATAAGATTTATGTAAAGACTATATGTAAAAATGGAAGAGATTATATTCTAGATACTTTGTGGTCTCCCTGGAGGAAATTCACCTGTGGATTATTCCATATGGATTAGAAGCCAATTTCTCTGGCCTTCTAGGAATATGTCTGGTAAGGCATCTCACTATTGTCCAGAAAGCAAGTATGTCATTCATTGTACGTTAAGAGTGGAGCAACGTATTGGATTAAAGAAAGGTCAACACAATTTGGCCGCTGTGAGCATGCCAGCCAGGTTCATTCTTCACCTCACATCGTTGGCAGTTAAATAGAATTCTAGAGATTCTTATGACCAAGAGGGGAGAGATATGCTTGGGTGTCTGGCAAGAGAAACATGTATTCTTGTCTAGGAGCTGGAAGCTTCAGCATGAGGAAGAAGGTTTTAAAAATCTTGGCCTACATTGGCTTTTCTTAGTTTAATCTCGTTTCTGTGGTTTACTTCATTGAAGTGTTTTCTTCCTCATGGGACTGATGTTGCATATCTGGGACATGACATGCATAAGTTTCAGAACCAAGAATCCTATAGATCAGCAAAAAATACATATTAAAAATTTTATATATATGTATTATATTATATATACATCTATAGACACATAGTAAAACCTTGGATTGTGAGCAACTTGTTCTGCAAGTGTTCTGCAAGATGAGTCGACATTTCTGATAAATTTTAACTTGGTAAACAAGGGATGTCTTGCAATACAAGGAGTACATGATGCCAAATGTCACGTAATTGAGCCAATGGTTCTCTCTGTCTGTCTGTCTCTGTGAGTCTCTCTCTCTATTTCTCTGTGGAATTGTGGGTGATCGTCTCCCATGCTCCGATGCTCTGTCTCAGGGCAGGTGTTTGGCAGAAATCAGTGATTTTTCAGAACACTGGAAGGTGTCCACAACTGGCACTGGTGTCATTTTTGTCACTTCAAAGCACCTATGAGCAGTTCTTTGCTTTTCCATACAAGAGTAAGCTCAGGAATGCTTTGCCTCATTCTAGGTCAGCTGCCTGCAAATATAGACCCTTTCCTCTGCTGCCTTATTGCCAGTTACATTACATAGAGCATATGACAAGAGCTTATTAATACTGTAGTGCAGTCAACATGCGTTAGCGATAATGACACTTATCCTACACAATAACCCTTTTCTCTCGTCTCCTTCACACCAGCCACAAAGGGTTTCAAAGGTAAGTACAGGGTAATTTATTTATTTTTCTTTATATTTTGTATTTTCTTTATTATTTTGTATTATAGTGCAGCATTATAATGATTTTTATATGAATATTTTTGGGTTGTGGAACAAATCATCTGAGTTTCCATTATTTATTATGGGGAAGTTGGTTTTGATACACAAGTGCTTTGGATTACAAGCATGTTTCTGGAACAAATTTTTCTCATGAACCAAGGCTTTACTGTCTATTTTTTCATATTTAAAATAGCACTGGGCATAATTCATATTTTACAAAATTAGCTCTAGTGCTCTGGTTATGAGAGCTTCTATAGTATGTTAGAGCAATTTTGGACTTTCATCCCCAACAAACTTTGGGGTTGGAAGGACACAAAAGTTTTGCTCAGACCCTAATTCTGCTTGAAAAAAGAAAGGGGAAGTATTATACGTCCTTTCTAATCTCTCTAAGAGCAAAAATGTTTTCCAGATAAGACATTTAACCACAAGTCCTTTGATATCATTTGAGTTCAGTAAGGAAGAATTTCTTGGCAGCATTTGTTTCAACAGAAATAGCAAGCTTGTACAAATTTTGTGCAAAGATTTCTTATTAGAAGGCTAAAAGAGATGATGTCAAATATAGTTGAAAATAATAAATGACAATCGTGTTGTTTCCATTGTTTTATTTCCCAGGGAGGAAAAATAAAGCATATGATACATATTGGGGCTTCAGGACAATACAAAGAAATTTGGGTAAGGAAAGCCCAGAAAAATCTCCCTCTTGACTTCTCTTGTCAAATGGGAGTAGACTGATAAGATGTTTTTTTGAAATACAGACCATTCTCTTACTTGTCCTTACAGGCAAAATATATTTGATGGCAAGTGGTTATTCCAAGATAATTTGCCTGGGCAGATGCAAACATGTTGAGACAGAATTTGTGAAGACAAAATAATTTTTAAATGATTTATCACTAATAAAAATATTTTCATAAGAACCACAAATTGTAGTTCCCAGGAAGATTCCTTCTCATTTGACCATTTATGAAACAACAATCTCCAGTTATAGTCCATGAAGCCATGGGTGTGTATTCCTGATTGGAGTTGGTAGTAGTGACAATGAACCAAAGCTGACACCCTGTGGTTCAACACTCCCTCCCTGTCCCCTTGTTTTGCTCACCAATAATCTGTTGTAATTCCTACAGAGTTACTATGGAGGGAAGACTGAGTGACCCATGGAACTCATTAAGTGAACATTTTTTCCACCTAAAATAACTTTATCTCCTTGTTTTCAACCCTTATTCCTACTTCTCTTAACTATAAACACGGCTCAACAGAAGCACACTGGTCTTGTGCAGCCCCTTCTTTGGACAGTCTTTTCTTGATTATTCTATTCATCAGTCCTGCATTTCACTTTTGCCTTCTTGAAATGTATCAAAATCTTTCTGTGGTTGATGACTTCCACATTCTCTTGGCTTTCATTGGTATTAATTTTGGTATTTCAATGCTTGTATTAAATATGGTTTCAGGACGAACAGAAAGTAAATGTGTTTCTCTAGTCTGCCACCTTGAACTGAAAATACCTGTTGCTTTTAGCATCCAACATTCTTATATATACATATATATATATAAACAAACCCAATCTCAGCATTCACATTCAACTTCTCTTGAGAAATCACTAAGGATTTAGGATATGGTCATTTCTAAAGGGAAAATAATACCTATCTCATGGAGTTGATTTGAAGACTAAATGAGATAATGAACATGCAAATGATTTGTAAAGCTTAAAGTTGTCTAGGAGACTTGTGTGAGAGGCAAGATGATGGAGAAGTAGGGAGTTCCGTACTTTTTGCCCACCCGCATCTCTCAAAAAAAAAAAAAGAAGGGCTGAAAACACTGAACTCCACGAGTCTGGGAGGAAAAGAGACAGAGTCCACTAAGAAGATAAGCCTCATAGGTGCATGATTGTGAACTGCAGAAGATAAAAATGGGCCAGACCCGGAAGAACAGAGGGGAGGGAGCCCTTTCCACAGAGAGCCATGGTTTGATGACAAAAGAGAAAGAGTGGCTGAAACTGCTCATAGAACTGTCCCTGGAGAAGAGAAAAACCTTGGCCGGGATGGAGAGGGACCCTTCATCCAATTTGTAACCATAGGGCGTTCAGAGAGAGATCCTATCTCTAGCTGTGGCACTTTCTTTGTGCCGTGCGCCCCAGTCCCAGGCAGTGCCAGGAGAAACTGCAGCCCTACTCCCCCTACTCAGTCCCCAGCTGGGAAGTGGCCTGGCCTGCAGGATTACATTATAGGCAGGATCATTAAACTGCACGGACTAAGGTCTGGAAATGAAGCAGGGCTTGGGACATAGAACACGGCCCACCTTGACTATCCCAGGGGAATAGGGAGATCTGACCCAAAAGAATGATTTGCAATGCTTGGTTCCTTGGTTTGAGAAGGGACTGGGGTGTTGCCATTATTTTCCCCACAACCACCAAGGCTGGACCACAGGGAGTGGCCCTTGGGACCCAGTGGAGGAGAGACCTGCCTACCCCAACCCACGCCCATCCGCCCTAGAGAGCTGCTTTTTTTTTTCTTTTCTTTTTTCTTTTTGATTGGAGCCCGGGGCTAGATCAATTCTTGCTATTCAGATCTATTTTCCATTATCTCATTCTTATCTCTCCCCTCAGCTAGACTAGGCACTCTGGTCATTGGTTCGCTTAAACAGTCACATTTAATCCATTCTCTTGATGCATATTCTACATCTCTGTCATTATTGTCCTTTCTCTCTCTCTCTCTGGAATAATCAGACTATATAGTTTCTTTGGTTAACATTATCTTCATTTCTTTCTCCTCACCTCCTACCATAGTCTCCTCTTTCTCTCTCTGAATTTGCCCTTTTCGTGTGTCTGCCTGGTCAATGTTCAATTTCACTTTCTCCCCACCCCTGTCATTTCTCTCTTTGTATGTGCTCTTCCATCAGCACTGCCCCCACCCTACTCTTTATTTGTAGCCGGGACTTCGGGTTTTCTGCTTGTAGACTGGCCTTTGTCTTTTGTTGTTGTTGTTGTTTTCTCCATTTCGGTTTGCTTGTTTGTTTGATTTGTCTGTGTGTTTGCATGCTTTTGTTCCCTGTCTGTTTGTCTATTTTTCTTTTCAGGGCTACCTCAAGAAACATGCCAAAGTACATAAGGTGGAGAGTCCCAAACATCACTATGGGTAGGGAAATAAAATAACCGAAGGTACAATAAGAGAGACCAAGTGATGCCATTAAAAGAACCCTTGCTGAATGGACAGGCCCTGGACAGTCAGTGAGCCTCCTTAAATAGAGCAGAACTCGGAGGTGAAGAGAGCATAACAAGCTTTTAAAACTTACAAGAGACAGAAAACTAGCCAAAATCATGAAATGGAAGAACTTTCCTCTAAAGAAATTCCAGGAAGAAATGACAGCTAATGAATTGCTCAAAAACAGATATAAGCAACATAACTGCCCAAGAATTTAGAACAGTAGTCATCAAATTAATCTCTGGGCTTGAAAAAGGCATGGAAGACACCAGAGAAGCTATTGCTACAAAGATTATGGACCTTAAAAATAGTTGTGATGAATTTAAAAATGCTATAAATGAGGTGCATAATAAAATGGAGGCAGCCACTGCACAGATTAAAGAGGCAGAGAGGAGAACAGGTGAATTAGAAGTCACAATGATAGAAAAAGAGGAAGCCAAGAAAAAGATCAATTGATCCATGAGCATGAAAGGAGAATTCGAGAACTGAGTGATGCAATCAAACGGGACAATATCTGTATCATAGGAATTCCAAAAGAAGAAGAGAGAGAAAAAGGAGATGAAGGCGTACTTGAACAAATTATAGCAGAGAACTTTCCCAATCTGAAGAAGGAAACAGACATTGAAATCCAAGAGACACAGAGAACTCCCCTTAGACATAACTTTACTCGATCTTCTACATGACATATCATAGTGAAGCTGGCAAAATATAAGGACAAAGGAAGAGTTCTGAAAGCAGTTAGGGAAAAAGGGTGCTAACATACAAAGGGAGACCTATTAGAGTAGTTGCAGACCTATCTACTGAAACTTGACAGGCTAGAACAGAATGGCAGGAAATCTTCAATGTGATGAACAGAAAAAATATGCAGCCAAGAATCCTCTATCCAGCAAGCCTGTCATTCAGAATAGGAGAAATCAAGGTTTTCCCAAATCAACAAAAATCGAAAGAATTCATCACCAGTAAGCCAGCCCTACAGGAAATCCTAAGGGGGACTCTATGAGGGAAATGATGCAAAGAACACATGGTCCCAGCGACACCACTACAAGCATGAATCCTACAGAGAGCACAATGACTCTAAACCCATATTTTTCAATAATAACACTGAATGTAAATGGACTAAATGCTCCAACCAATAGACAGAGGGTATCTGAATGGATTTAAAAAAAAATCCATCTCTTTGCTCTCTATAAGAGACTCATTTTAGAACTGAAGACACCTTCAGATTGAAAGTAAGGGCATGGAGAAATATCTATCAGGCTATTGGAAATCAAAAGAAAGTCGGAGTAGCCATACTTAAATCAGACAAACTGGACTTTAATATAAAGGCAGTGACAAAGGATGAAGAAGGGCATTCTGTAATAATTCAGGGTCTATCCATCAGGAAGAGCTAACAATTATAAATGTCTAGGCACTGAATTGGGATGCACCCAACTACCTAAAACAATTAATCATAAACAGAAACTATCTTATTGATAAGGATGTGCTAATTGCAGGAGACTTTAATACACCACTTACAGCAATGGATAGATCAACTAGACAGAAAATCATGAAAGAAACAATGGACGTGAACAACACATTGGACCAGATTGATTTGACAGATGTATTAAGAACTACACATCCTGAGGCTATGGAATACATTTTTTTCTTAGGTGCGCATGGCACATTCTCCAAGATAGATCACAAATTGGCTCATAAAGTGGCCCTCAATAAATATAAGAGAATTGAGATCATACCATGCACACTTTCAAATCACAATGCTATGAAAGTTGAAATCAATCACAGGAAAAAAATCTGGAAAACCTCCAAAAACATGGAGGTTAAAGAACACCCTCCTAAAGAAGGAAGGGGCCAATCAGGCAATTGGAAATTAAAAATATATGTAAACAAATGAAAATGAGATACAACAATCCAAACTCTTGGGGATGCAGCAAAGGCAGTCCTAAGAGGAAAGTACATTGCACTCCAGGCCTATTTCAAGAAACTAGAAAAAGCGCACATACAAAATCCAACAGTGCACCTAAAGGAACTAGAAGCAGAGGAGCAAGAGTACCCTAAACCCTGCAGAAGAAGAGAAATAATAAAGATCAGGGCAGAAATAAACAATATAGAATCCAAAAAAACCCAGTTGAATAGATCAATGAAACCAAGAGTTGGTTTTTTGAAAAAATAAACAAAATGGAGAAAGCTCAACCTAGGCTTCTCAAAAAAAGAGAGAGCACCCAAATAGACAAAACCATGAATGAAAATGGATTTATTACAACCAATCCCTCAGAAATACAAGCAATTATCAGGGAATACTATGAAAAATTATATGCCAACAAACTGCACAACCTAGAAGAAATGAACTTACTAGACATTTCTACAGATTATCTAGCTATCATCTTAAAACAAACATACCTAAATGAAACTATATTGTATGCCAATTATAGAGGAGGAAAAAGAATGTTCTTTCTACCCTTTTGTGTTCTTAGCTGAGAACCCTGTAATAAAAGAAGACAATTTAACGAGAAAAACAGAGGTTTATTAATATGTATACCTCATGTACACATGAGAGATGCAGAGGGAAATAGAGTGGCTTAGAATTCAGGCTTAAATAGCATCTTAATAGGGAAAAGGCGGTGCACTATAGGCATCTGAGAGGAGAGTTATGATTTTTAGAAAAGATGAATGGGCCCTTAGAAGAAGAGATGGGAGGTTTATGGCAAAGTTTTTCTGGGTGTGTTCACATTCTAATCTCTCCTTGACAAAGGCCTGTCTTTCCTGGTTGATGAAACTCCTAGGGAGGGGTTTTATGACAGCTGATTTCCTTTGGAGTATCTGTCTTTAGGCAGATAAGGAAATGCAGGAACAGTTCCTCCTTGAATTTGCTGTTTTTTGAAAATGACTACAGCTCAAAATAATCAGTATATTAAACCAGCATATTTTGAGGTGGCATGTCATCAACTCCTACAGTCACATTTTGAGGTAGCATATTAAATTTTTTTACATTTACTTACTTAGTTTTTTTTGAGAGAGACAGAGATAGCACGAGTGGTGAAGGGGCAGAGAGAGAGAGGCAGAGAGATTCTGTAGCAGGGTCTGCGCTGACAGCCTGCATGGAGCTCGAAACTGTGAAATCATGACCTCAGCGGAAACCAAGAGTCAGACACTTAACCGACTGGGGTAGCATATTAAATTCAGAAAGTGTAGGATTGGCGAGCTACGTGTCCAGCCTGAAAATGGGTGTTCTCTAGGAAGCGAGCTCAGAGAGTGCTAGCCTAACTACTGATTCTCTACAAGAGACCCCATATGTAATGTCTACTGACAGCTACAAGCTTCAAGACATTTTCAAATCCAGAAGGTAGTATTGGCTACTCCCAGTTGAGCTAGGAAAGACTCCTGGAAGACCCCATCTTTCATTTGAATAAGATAGAAAATGACATGGTGTTATTGTCTCACAAGCCCCTAGGCATTTGAAGTGAAGTTTCAGGAGGCGAACACTTGATCCTGAGCTGTGGAAACAGAGTTTCCAGGGGGAGTGAGATTTGTTTGAATTTGTATAGTGGTGGGTTTCTCAGATGGCTTTGGGGGTGGGAGTTCAATGGGTAATAGGGAGGGGGGACGAATAAAAAGGCAGCCTTTCTTATTATAATCTACATCCTGTCACTTAAGGCCATGCGTCTGATTATTTCTCTTTCACGCATGGGTACCCTGTTTGCTGAAGGTGTTGTGAAAAGTTGCCAAGAGATAAATTCAACTGTTTATGAGAATCGTTACGTGGTTCTGTGTTTATTTCCCTGGCACCCTCCAAGATGTCTAATTTGAAGCTGAGGATCTGCTTTCTGGTGCTTGTAAGTAAAAGTATTTCAATATGTCTTAAACACATTGTTTAGAGAATGTATACAAAACAAGATGCCTTTGTAGCACTAGGGAATCTACAAGAAGAAGGAAAGGAAACTTTTTATGTGACTACTGCTAACATTTATTGTGTGACTGGGATCGTGTTACTGTCTCTCAGCGCTGGTTATAAAGATGATAATTAAGTAGGCAGTCCCTGTAGGCTCCCTACCAACTTAGAAGCATTTCTCCTTCTCAGGTTTCAGCTACTACTTCTCCTAAGTGGGCTTCAGAAAAACAGAATAAGAAGACCTTTGAAGCCACACAATGTCTGGTCTGTCTTGGCTAACTGTGTCATAATATGACTGATATTATAGCAGGTAGCAGGAAAATACGTGTCAAGAACAATACAATTCCACATTTCGTTGATAGCAGGGAACAGAATGTGCACTTGGACTACCATTCTCACGTACAATCACTTCTTCACAGACTAGAGAAGGTGGTGGCTGGTCAACTATTGACTGGAAGTTGCTACCAAAATGGCTGTCATGCAAGTACTAGTTTATTAAAGTAATATTTAAAAAAACTGAGCCTTTTAGCTCAAAAGCATACACTCCAATATTCCTCTTTTCCTTCACCCAGGCTCCAGTAACTCATCTCAGGACTCCTAAGATGACATTTAGTCTGGTTCTCCAACATGTGTGTTTAATGGAAAGACAAAGCCTAACAATCATTGGAATGGGTTAGCAAGACTACGACTTATCTACTAAGTATCTTTCTGTGTTTAGCTAAGAAGCTCTTGCTTTCCCATTTTTCTATAAAGAAAAGTATTCCTAGATCACTCTGGTTAGTAGGTAAAGGAAAGGTAAGAAAAAAGAAGTCAGGATTGCCTCATTTAGTTGTGTAAAAAAAGGAGCTCCCTGTGAATTTGTGGCATTAAAGTCTACAGATTCACGTGCTTTTCTAATAAAGTTGGTAAATTTTGCCTCAGTATCCCATTTCTTTTCAACAAGAGAGTTTCAGCTTTGAATCATTTCACTGGGGTATAATCTGTTCTACATGGTTCTCAGTCTTGAAGATTCCTGATACATCCTGAAGGCACCAGGATTACCTTATATCCAGAACTGTTTGCCCAGACCTGTGGAAGATTTGCCTTGGGAAGGTAGCCATTTTGGGAACCTCTGCATCCAAACGCATTTTAGGCCAGTGTCTAAGACCACAAAGTGTCAAATGCTAAGCTGACCAAGTATTGTGTGAAGACCCGACTGAACTCTTTAATTCAAAAGGGTGAGCATAAAGAAAGAATCAAGGGGGGAAATCATCACTTCCTCAAATCTGATTGAAGGTTGAGAGGGATCAAGGAAAACTTCAATAGCTTGGAAACTAGTCCCCAGGAAAACAATGAATAGGGCCTGGACAAAAAGAAAGGAAGATTTGCTGATTAGCTTCCCCTGTGGAGAGAGTCTCTGCCACTTGGCTTCCTTTGATGAGATTACAGACTTCTGAAACTCATTCCCATCAGGAAGGTAGACATGTTGAAAGAACATCCTTCCAACTAGGCAGGGATACATTCCTTGTTCTTGGGAAAGTACATTATTTTGCTCTCTGGAATGACTTAATCATGTTTTCATCCTTGAGGCCAGAGAGATTCAGAGGAGTTTCTGAACAATCTAGTCTAAGAAGCTGAAACTTATGTGATGAAGTTGCAAGAATTCTAGATAGCCAAATCACTGTATTTTTATTTTTATACAATATTCCTCAACAGGGTAGAGGGATGTTAATGATCCTCTTACATTTCTTGTTCTTGAGTGTTCCAAATGCATTTCTCTTTGGTCCCTATACCCAACCCCAGTTGGGAAAGGAGGATACAAGCTAACTTTTTATTGCTTTGGATGCCATAAGCTAACAAATAATTTCTGTCCCCTTTGTTTTCATACGCCCTCAACACTCACTATATCCATCAACTCCAATTCATACCGTCATAATTTAAGATACTTAGAGTTGAACAGAATTTTAGTTTAGATTTAAAGTTCCCAACCTAAGCAGGAATCCCCATTCCTGACTTATGATCACTACATCTTCCTTAAAACCATCAGTGTAAGGGGATCTTCTGGGTTGAGTTGATGTATTTTGGCATATCTTGTCTTTAATTCACCATCCTCCACATACACCTTCCTTTTATTTCTCTGCTTATTCCAACCTCAAATATGTTTCAAGGCTCATTTTAATCCTATCATTTCCTTATGGACTTCTTAGACTAAAGGTGATCACAGAAACTTATATATCTAGCAGAATTATAGAATCCTTGTCAGTTAAAACCCAAAGGGAATGTACAGATTTTCTAGTATAGGTTTTTCTTTTTAAGGGTGTGAAACTGAAAATAAGGAAGGTCTGATAGGAAACCAGACCATATATTACATTTTGACGTCTTCTTTAATGCAGCTATGAACAGTTTTTTTTTTCTTTTTTAAACACTGTAAGTCTGTATTTTTTTCCTCTTAATTGCAAGCTTCTTGAAGGCAATGATTATAATTTCTATGTCTATGTATTTTGCAATGGTCTTTCATACATACTAGGTTCTAATTCTGTGCTGTCCACTAGAACTTTCTACAATGGTATAAATGTCTTAATATCTGCACTGTCCAATATGGTAATCACTAGCCACATGTGGCTTTTAAGCACTTGAAATGCTATTAACACATCTGAAGAATTGACTTTTTAAAGTTATTTCATTTTCATTACCTTAAATTTAAACATCTATAGACACCTGCTGCTAATGATTACATTAAACATGGAAGCTCTCATTCATTTGTTGATTCTCTGCAAGTGAAGAAAAGTTAGAGCACATTGGTTGACTCAATAATGTCTTAATATTGTTTGAAGCAGAAAACAGAGGTTTAGAGATGGAAAAAGCCAAGTCTCATCATCTCAATTAATAGCCCCAGAAAAGTGAAAGCATTAGATCAAGGTCACATGCTTAATTAGGAATAGAGCTGGCACCAGGGTCTAGGCCTCTTGGCTATAGCTTTTCTTTATTATTTTTTCATTGTTTGTCATCGTATCTTGGGGGAAGTCAGAGGAGGAATCAGGTAATAAGTAAGTAAGAAGAGAAAAACCTATAGAAATTTAAAAAGTATAGTAAGGATGAGTGAGGACTATAGATAAGGAAGAAGGGAAGAAAGGATGTTGTATAAGAGTCAAAAAATTTGTCCAAGTATGGTGATGAAGAAAGGCAAAAAAATAAAAGCTCATATTTTCAACCGTGGGCTGGTGTAAATGAAGAATCCCCTTTTCAATGCAAAACAAAGTTACTGTAATAAATCAGGGACCATTTCATAGATGTACCCAGGATTACACAGTGAAGGGAGTTTAGTGGTTACTGAACCATGACAAAGCTCTCATACTAATGAATTACATTCCTCAAAACCTTTGTCAGACCAATCAAAGAACTCTCTTTAAATGAGCATGGAATGTTAACATCTGGTACACCAAATGGAGATAACAGTTTCATCCAAAACCTCAGTTAGTCCAGCTTTTATCCCTCTCCATTGTCCCCTGATCCCACTTGATCCTTCCTCTTGCTTTGCAGCTAAATGAAGGAGAGACATCACTGAAGTGTTGGATTCTGTGGCATGTAAGAGACCTGGGAAGTAGAAACGCAGGTGGATGTGAATCGTCTGGAAGCCTCAAGAATGCTCCAGATGCCTCTTCTCCATACAGAAGCAAAAGCTCCAACAACCTTTCAGGAGAAATAATTTGTATAGAGGCTGTAGTTAATCAGTAAATAAGAGAAGCAACTAGTTTCCAAAAGCTCAGTGGTGTTCAAAACAGGATGCTACACTTTTGTTTATTTATTTCATAGTGTTTTGTATTTCATACAAAGAAGGAAAAACTAAGACTAATATCTGTAATATCGTGCTCTGTAAACTGCACTTTGTTTCTTTGTATCTTTTCCCTTTCTGGCAAGGAACTAAAATGACACAGATTTTCTTAGAGTGTGTGGAATATTTATTTTCTTATTAATTCAATGGTTGTTCAGTTAGGTGATGAGCATAGCAATTTTTTATTTGTTTTTTTGTTTGTTTGTTTGTTTTTTTGCACCTCAAATGCTATTTTACCTATGGATGTGGCACCAATCTCCAAGTCACAAGCTTAGGTTAGAATTTATTCAATAAGAATTCTAAGGTGGGGCCAGTCATCAGTCCTTACCAAATCTTATTCTCTTTCTGTTTTTCCCTCCTGTTTTCTTCTTCCAGGTTTCTCTATTTCTTATTAATACTACCACCTGCATTAGAGCTCTGTGGGAGCATTTTGGTTGTCCCTTCTCTCTTATATCCTACCTCTAGATAATTGCTCCAGCAAGCAGTTTTTCTTTCCACAGTATCTCATATTTGGCTTCCTTTTATTTCATTGCCTCCACCCTATACCAGGGTGCTGTTGGTTTTCTGTGTCTCCTGTCACCAGTACTTCATGAATTGTTCTTCAGATTGGGGCTAATTGTATCACTCTATAGCTCAACAACTTTCAGTGGTATGAGACACTTAAAAGGAAAAATGAAGAGAAAGAGAAGGGGAAAGGAGGAAGAGAAAGAGGAAAAACAAAGAAAGGAGGAGAAAGTTGCCAGTTTAAAACAATAGAAAACTAAGAAAGTATATAAGAATTGAACTTACAGTACTGATGGTGAGCCAAATCAATGCAACACTATATTTCATACAATAGTGGTGAATAATTGCTTTAAAATATTTAAGTTAGATTGCTGCCTTCCAGCATACAGTGAAATAACTTTCAGATTGATTAGAATGTTAAATATACAAAAAAAAATCTAAAGATAATTGCAAAATATGGTAAATAATTGTTTCAGGTCAAGTTTAGAAAGATCTTTCTAAATAAAATAAATGCAAAAGAAAGAATAATGTAAGAGATTAACCATAACATAAGAATTAAAAATCCACTAAGAACCAGGGTGCCTGAGTGGCTCAGTTGGTTAAGCTGCAGACTCTTGATTTCAGCTCAGGTCATGATCTCACAGTTGGTGAGATCAAGCCCCATGTAGGGTTCCCTGCTGACAGTGCATGGAGCCTGCTCTGGTTCTCTCTCCTCCCTCTGTCTCTCTGTGTCCTTCCCCCACTGGCACTTACTGTATCTCAAAATGAATAAACAAACTTAAACAAATTCTTAAAACAATAAAAAAATCCACTAAAACCCATTCTCAAAACTCAAAAGCAAAAGTCCATCTTGGAAAAAATATTTCCAGACACTATGGCATACGATGTGTGAGTGCATTCGAAATATAAGATCTCTTACAAATCAGAAGAGTGAAAAGCACTCCAAAAGAAAAAAAATTGCAAAGATTATGGAAGAGGAATTCACAAAAGAATATAAATGACCTATATTATGAAAAGAAAAACATCAGAGCTATTGTGCTTTTTTTCTTGTGTGTCCTTCCATTGCTTAAAGCTCATAAAATCCTCATTTCAGGATCAGTCAGTCAGTCGCATTATTTCCAATTTATATATTCAGTTTGCACTTCATAGTTTAATTCAGTCAATTTATTTGACTGCATGCTCTGAGATTTTAGAGTTAATTCAGTTGTAATCTTTTCCCTCCTTCCTAGACTGTAAGCACTTCAAGGGCAGGAACAACGCGCTATTTATTTTTGTGGACCCTACACTATGTTGACGTGTACAGCACACAATAGTCTACACAGAAAGGGTGAAGAGGGAGGATCAGAGAAGTTTTGAGAGAGGACATATCTTTGAAGGTGAGTTTTAAATTTCAAAACTTTTTTTTTCCCTTTTGTGTATGTCTTTTGGGTTAAACGTGGTTTAAAGGGAAGGTTATATAACTTAAGAGGAAAGGGTACTGAAGAGAGACAAGTGAGGATTTGAATACTGACACTACTCATCATTTCACTCTGAGCCTCAGTTCCTCATCTGTAAAATAGATATACTTCCTACTACTTGCATGATTATTAAGAAGATAGAAACCTACATTTGTAAAGTGGTCAGCATGCTGATTCCATTCTCTTCATATTCCCTTTTCTGCTATGCTGAAGTAAAAGTGCGGTAGCATGTGTGAAAACATCTTGAAACATGGTATTTTTTAGAATAGCACAACGTACTATTAATTAAAATTTTGGTATATATGTAAGGGTAAATTGCTTGTTATGCTTTTGTTAATGAGAAATTGAATAGAAGCAATGTTTGGGGGAGAAAGTTCAGAGTAGGTAAATAAAAGTAAGAAAGCACAACAAAGTGAAATGTGAGAAGCAGGTAATTCAAAAGATTCTATCACGGTGGAGTCATGTAGTAGAAATGACATGCATTTGGGGGTCAGGAAAACTTGAGTGTCAGTCTCAACTCTGCACAAACTCTCCATGCTACCTTAGGCAAGTTCCTTGTCCTCATCAAGATTCGATTTCTCCACCTGTCAAGCTGGGATTAATAACATTCTCATAGCAGGGATGTCGTGAAGACCAACAAGATGAGTAAATGAAAGCATATGGTACCTGGGTGATATTTGATAAATGCTTCGTTTTTTTTCCTCTTTTTTTCTTTCCTTTCTGAGATGAAATAGCTGGCCTGAGTCATCATAATACTGCTGAGTATTTATATGTTTAAAAGACCTGATGTAATTTTTTAAGTACCCAACCAACTATCAACGAGTGACTCAGGTGTCAGGAAGAAGAGATCCTACTTTTAAAAGTGCTTTCAAACTTGACCGCTGTGTTTACAATAGGATTTTTGGATCCATGCATGTCTCACGACACACAGTCTAAATCTCCATGCATATTTAGTTAATCTCAGTTCATCTTGTAGGCACACAGCCATCATTTTGCTCTTGTGAAGACTGAGAACATGGTGTACCAATTCTCTTCTTGTAGGGGACTCTCATTAGCTTTTACCACTGCCTGCTTTTAAATTTTGTGAACTGTAAAATGTAGTAGTATATATTCCTGAGTTGTTTTTTCCCACTGAGAGTATTTAAGTTGAATGTGTTTTTAATAGCATGGGAGGGAAGATACTGGTAATAAAGCAAAGCATTTGAAATTTTAAAAATAAACAGTACATTTATAGCAATTATGGAGGTCCCTTTTTCTTTAAATATTTATTTATTTGTTTTTGAGAATGAGAGAGAGAGAGAATCCCAAGCAGGCTCTGCACTGTCAGTGCAGTCAGCCTGATGTGGGGTGCGGGACTTGAACTCACAAACCATGAGAGCATGACCTGAACTCAAATCAAGTATTGGGCGCTTAATCAACTGAGCCACCTGGGTGCCCCATGAAGATCCTTTTGTTAGTGATTAAATATAGTATTATAGAATAGTATATCTAGAGTGAAAAAGTGCTAATCATCAACCAGCAGTAGTTCTTTTTTGTTTTTTAATAAATGAATGTGTATATTTTATTTACTTATTTTAATTCTATTTTATTTATTTATTTTTCAAAATACTTGTTATTTAGTTTTGAGAGAGATAGAGAGACAGAGCATGAGCGGGAGAGGGGCAGAGAGAGAGGGGGACACAGAATCTGAAGCAGGCTCCAGGCTCCAAGCTGTCAGCACAGAGCCCAATGCGGGGTTTGAACCCACAAACACGAGACCATGATGTAAGCTGAAGTCAGATGCTTAATTGACTGAGCCACCCAGGTGCGTCATATTTTAGATAGTGAGAGAGCGTTAGTGGAGAGGGGGCTGAGGAGGAGAGAGAATCTTAAGCAGGCTCCACAGTCAGCATGGAGCCCTATGCACGGCTCCATCCTACAACACTATGATCACGACCTGAGCTGAAATCAAAAGATGGACACTCAACTGATTGAGCCACTTAGGCACCCCAGGAATGCTTATATTTTAGAATGAACAAAGCATGGCCTATGATATTTGCCTCAGTGTATTTCACATAACAGTATATAGCAGAGTAATCATATTGCTATTTTGTCCTTAAAATTGCTAGTTATGGAATATGACTCCAGCCTCTCTTATATTTTCTTTCAGTATGGCCTTGAATGAAAAGAAGCAACATCCCCTTTCTGCAGTGATAAAACACTCTGCACACACCATTTTCTCTTCCTTTTCTTGGGTATGGAGATGTGACTTTGGTATTTCCTTTACCTCTATTCCTGTATCTTAACTATCTTGCTAGAATCAAACTCTACTTATTAGCCAAACTTACTTAACTTCAGATTCATTTCTGTTAGGGAATGTAGAAATGATCTCACTTAATTACTTCATTTAGATGATATGGATTTAATTGTCTCCATTTCGGAGCTGAGGAAAAAGAGGTCTAGAGAGTTTCAGAAATTATTCCACATTCTTATCCAGTGAGTGAGTTGAAATTATAACCTAGATCTGAATAGGTGTCAACACAAATTCTTTCTGATTCTGTAGGCTCCTGGACTTTTACACTGATTCTTAAGAGCTCTTAAATGGCCTTTTTATGATTAAAAGACTATGTAAGGGGGCATCTGGGTGGCTCAGTTGGTTAAGTGGCCAACTCTTGATTTCAGCTCAGGTCATGATCTCACTTGCGAGTTCAAGCCCTGCATTGGGCTCTCCTCACAGCATGGAGCCTGCTTCAGATCTTCTGTCTTACCTCTTTCTGCCTCTCTCTCTCTTTCAAAAATAAATAAATGCTAAAAAATATTTTAAAAGACTATGTAAGGATAGTCTTTTATAACCGCAAATAGGTGGAAGTGCAGGCTTTTGAGGGGAAAGATGAAGACTGTAGCTTTCACCATGCTCTTTGTCAAGTGTGTGTCACACATCCAGGTGGAGTTGGGCATTGGGACCTACTCCCCAGAGACAGAGACCACGACTGGAGGCAAAGGCTTGGGGGCAAAATTGTCTCTGTTGGTCTGTTTCCCCTATTCTTAGAGTGGTCTATGGGGAAACCAAGAGTAGGCTGTTTTGACATATGGAAGGTTCTGCTCTAAATAAGACAAATGGAGCCAGGAGTCTATGAGACCAGTCAGCCTTTAGGAGATGTGGGTAAGT